ATCTCTGGCCCCAGGGGAGCTGGGGACTCCCAGCCCTGACCCTTCTGCATAGGACCTGCCTGAGAGCCCCACTCCAGTGCCTAAGGAGGGCACCACCACCACTCCCTTGTCCTGTCCTCAGTCCCCTGGCCCCACATTCCAAGAGGCCACCAGCCTCTCAGCTGTGTGCACACAGCCTCTGCTTCATGCTGAGACAGCCGATGTGCCCCCTTTTTCTGTGCCAGTGGAGGGGCTCGAGGCTTGGCCAACAGCTGCTTGCCCCGTCCCCTGACTGCTTTCTCTGCCACGTGGTCCCTGAGGAAGGACTGGGACAGCTCACCTCAGTGTCCTCCTTCTGCCCCTCAGGTGATGTTGGCTGCTCTTTCCTTGGCTCTGACAGGGGCAGGAGCTGCAGCCCAGCCGTCAGTGCAGCACCGCCTGGAGGCTCCAGTCACAAGTCCCCTCTCTGAAGAAGCAGTGGGGAGTCGACTCTAACGTGGCAGAGGCCCGGGGCGGGGTGGGGGTGGGGGTGGGGGTGGATCCAGGTCCACCGTTAGCACCAACATCTCCATCTTCTCTTCCAGGCCCATTATTAACAGTAGCAGTAACCCAATAACCCAGACCTTAATCAGCCGTGATTAGCACAGCTAAGCCCTCCGCGCTTTCCCCAGTTGCAGCCCCAACATGTTCTGTGGAGACACAACAGCTGTCCAACAGCTCGAGTCTCCCAACATTCTGCCAAACAGCACGGTGACAGCTGTGGCTGTTCTGGACACCCCACAAGTATACAGACTGCCGCAGGCTGGGATTTAAACCAACTGAACCAAGGAATTGAGTTTGGACCCTGCAGTAAGCTCAGATCAGAAGGTTTGTGGGTGGATCACTTTGGACCAATCAGGAGGCCACAATTTGCCCTGTCACAGGCCAGCTTATACAGCGGCAGCGTTCTCAGGCCTCTCACCTCCTCTGCAAGAACTCCCTCTGGTGTACAGATACCTCCTCCCTCGCACTGCAGTTCTGGTCCTGTTCAAATGAAACCTCACACCAGGGCTCGTGTAAGTCTGCTCATGACTGACTTCCCTGTTTGTGTGGGCTTGGGGCAGGCCCTTTAAATCTACTCGGGATTCTCATTCTGAATAGTGTGGATAGAGTGATTGCTTGAAAACTATTTTAAAAAACCTATAAATGTGGTTAGCCCTGAAGACTCCAAGGACCAGTAGTAGGTGAAGATCAGCCCCAGGAGAGCAGCTCCTGGCAGAATTGCCCGGTGGTACCTGGCACAAGTTGATGTCAGCCGTTGGAGGCCAGCAGGGGCAGAGAAAGTAGCGTTGGCTGATGACATCCAGCATTAGCTGGTATGGCCTGGTGGTGGCGCTAGAGCTTTTGGCAAAGCTGCACCTGTCTGTTTGTGATTTCTACATTACTGAACCAAGAACTCCCAGCTGATGACTGACAGTCTCACATCTGTGCACATCAGACTGGGCTCGGGTACTAAATCTCTGTCTGATCCTCTCCCACTAACATAGCCCCCACTTTGGAGGTTCTGTGTGGATGTCTGGAACTATCAGGGAGACCCGGGCGTTTTGTGCGTCGGTGTCCCTGCTCCCTTTCCTCCCTTCTGTTCTCCATTTCTCCTCTCCTTCATCTCCCACAAGCGGAGCACGTGTTCCTTCCTTTTCCTTGCGGCAGTTGAGGGAATGAGTCTTTGTGCCGGAACGTGCTCCCAGCCCTGAGACTTGCACCTACGCCCAGCCTACCCCTAAGGCTGGCAGAGCCATGCGGGGCCTCCTAGTGCATCACACCCCCTGTCACCTTGTTACACGTGCACTGCTAATCTTTTCACCTCTTTTGTCCCTTTTGTTTCAAGTTTGTTGGGCAGGGGAACTTTTTTTAAATTTATGTAGTTGGTACAGGGTCTCAGTACACAGCTTGGACTCATAGTGATCCTCCTGTTTTCAGTCTCCCCAGTGCTGGGAATACAGGCATGCGCTGCCTCGTCAGGGCTTGGTGGCCGGCTCAGCATGTCCACGGGCGGGGCTGGTGTGGCATGTGGGGCCAGGGATTGAACACTGGTTTCTGAGCTTGCCTAAGCATGCACTTAGTCCACTAAGCTATCTCACCAGCCCTGGGGGGCATGTTTTGAAGGAGCCCTCCTGCTGGATCTATAGGAACTCGAAGGTCACCATCTGCATTGAGAGTTCTCAGTGGCTCTGAGAAGCGTGATGCCACTACAGACCCCTGGATCACTGCTGCTGAAGAAAGCTAAGGACACAGCCCGAAGCCTACGACCTTCTCTCCTGTGGGGCCTCTTGCAAATCTTATCTTGCTACATGTAGGCTCTCCTATCTTAGCAGCGTCTCAGTAGTTACCCTCATGTCAAAGTACCGTGATTTACAGGAGCCATCCCTCCACTGATGTCATGGTTTGGGTTTTTTTTTTTGCAAGGTGAGCAATATGGTACAGTATTTTTTAATAGTGTTTTATGATGAATCAGCCAAGCATCATATATAAGAAGTGCAGGAAATCTGTCCACACACATAACTCTAAAGACTCCAGCTGAGAGCCTCGATCCTAATATCCTGCATGAGTCCAGCTGAAAACCCAGAGCTCACAACAATGCCTCCCACGAGTCCAGCTGGAGGCCTAGAGCCCATGACAAAGTCTCATGCAGGTCCGCTTCATGGATGTGTGCTGGAAAGGCCCAAAGGTCAGTGGTGGAAGCTGGGAAGTCTGTGCCAGTGGGATGAAGGATCTGTGCTAGCAGGCTGAGGGATCTGAACTGGAGGTAGGAAGCGATGCTCAAGTTAAGCACCAGAACTCCCCCAAAGTACCACAGCCATCCTCAGCTCCTCCAGCGATGAGGACAGCCGAGTTCCCATCAGGAGAGCCAATGCGACAAGCTTCTCCACAAGGCTGAGCAGTGCACCAGCTTCCCTTCCAGGGACAGGAAGCTATGCTCAAGATGAGGACCAGAGCTCCTCCAAAGCTCATTGGGAAAGCCAGTATGACAAGGTCCTCCAGCAGAACAGCCCAAGAGAACCAGCAGCTACCAGCAGCTCCAACTGCTTCTCCAAACAGCATTCCTAACGGCATTCCAGCAGCTTCTCCTGTTCTGCCTTTATGCTGCTGGCAACAACCCTCAGGCGGGCCTCCTGCACCCAGCACCATGCTAGTTTAATTCAGCTAGCATTAAGTGTAAGAAGGTGTAAGAAGCTGACCAATGGTCAGAAATCCACTACAACTGAGGAACATTGACATCATCTCTGAAGTTTCATAGTGGTAAACCATGCAAAGGTGAACAACTTCCACTGTTCATTGCTATTCATATCTAACTTCACAGCTTGTAGCTTTGTTTGCTAAATCTGACAATGTCTTTAGGAGGTATGGGTGCCACACAGCTTCTACCAGGTGGACACACTTCCTCCCAGGCCCCTAGAGTGTGGTGGTGTCCAGAATCTAGGATGAATGAAAGCTGGCCCGCCTCTCTGGCCCGCCTCTCTGGTCCTCCTCTCTGGTCCTCCTCAGCACGGTGCTCATGGAAATTGAAGTCAGGTGTGCGCATGTGCATTTGCTCTTGGTATCTAGCAATTCATCAGACTTCATCACCATCATCGGCCCTTGGCAGTGCAGGTCTGTGGCAGGGAGACAGAAGAGAAGGAATCACAAATGTTCAAAATCTGCCAGTAAGAAATACTTTCAATATTCACATTAGTGCTCAGTGCAGAGCACTCGCCTAACATGTGCAGGACCTTGGGTTCCATCCCCCACACCATGGATCCAGTTGCCCAGGGTGACACATACACCAGGCAGATGTGGGCAGTCAGAACAGCTCTGAAGCCTCTGCTGAGCTGGACGGTGGCTGGAGCTGCCAGTCTAGGTGGGATCCGTAGATGCAAACTGGAAGTACAATGGGTGATACAGGCAAAGGGACAAAGTTAAGGTAAGGGACAGAGATGGTGACATGGGCTCCGCTTGGGGGTAGGACAGCAAGAGCCTCCCCTGAGGAGACCCTGCCTGAGTTGGGACTTGTGGGTGACTTGGGGTTTCTGGAAGAAGCTGCCTCTGCTCAAGATGCTCAACTTTCCCTCAGTCACTGCCTTGGCTGTGGGTGGGAGAGGAAGGTTTGGAGGTACAGAGAAGGTTCCCTCTGGGGTGCATGATCTGTTCATAGCAGTGATTCTGGGTAATGAATTAATCCATGAGAGGCTGGGGAACCCTGGCACCCCGCTGCTGGTGGCTGCCAGCACAATCTCATTCCTTCTGTAATGAGTTCTCATGGCGCTGTGGCCAAAGGTGGGCGCCCAGATGCTTGTCCTGTCTGTCCCGGGTGGGGCTCTTCCGATTCTCATTTCCAAGTCCACTGCAGCTCAGGAGGCCCAACTGGCCTGATAGCTTCTCTGCCCAGGTTTATTTGTACCTTCTTTCAGTCCCTACAAGTTCTTCCTGGCTGCCAGGAGGCCTGGAACTCTGATAGTTCCTCAGTACTCACCTGCTGTACATATGCTCTGGGCGACAGGAAAGGTCCCTTGGGACCCCACTGTATGATGACACACAACCTCTCTTGCTCAGCTTCTGGGGAAACATGACTTCTCCAGTCTTTGCTGCCTCCATCTCCCCTTGCTATAGAATCATCCTTGTTGCTAGACTTTTTTTTTTCTTACTAACCTACAAGGGTTATTTTACATCCATTTGTGGATCTTTAGGAGAAAGATCTTGCTTTCAAATACAGCCTCCTGTGCCAAGGTCAGGGGTTAAATACTGCCAATGCCCTCAACTGACTGGTTAACCTGGAGGCAAAGTTATGACCTCTCCGTGCCTCAGTGTCCTCAGTGACAAAAATGGGTGTGGTAGATAGTAATCCAAAGAGCTCAGTCCTTTGAGCATCAACCATATCTGCCTCACAGGGCTATGAAGCTTAAGTAAGTTGATTCAGGAAATCATGTGAGTGGGTGTGTAGAAATAGCTTTTAGTGGTTCTCAACTCTCTTATGGGTGCTCTGCTCTCTTACCTACATCTCCATTTTTTTGATCTGAGGTCAAATACAGGGTGCCCAGTTAAATGTGAATTTCAGACAACAGTGAAGATTTTATTTTAAGTGCAATAAGTGTGCCCTTTGTTGTCCCCTGGCTCAGTCTGTTTCTCCCCTCATTTTCCCATGGATTTTCCAGGAAGTTCCCCCCTTGCTTCCCATAATACTGCCCACAGCCTCCCCCTCTGTGCAGTGCCCTGTCTCCTGTGCCATCTCTGACTCACCAAGGCCTTGCCCAGGCTGCTCTCTGAAGTGCCACATAGACCAGATGTCCTCTCAACTTACAGAATCCTGGGCTTTCAAATGACACCCCTCCCCCACTCCCCCCACATAGACACACAAGTTCAAGGCTGGTTTCGGTTTATCTGACGAACACTTTATCGCAATTTTTCCCTTTGAACAACGCTGGATGTTTGGGGATTCATCTTTTGAGCTTCTTTCTGCCATCTGGAGCTGTCCATTTCACTCTTTTTCCACAGAAGTTGCTATGACTAGTGTAGATGGTACTGCCATACTGTCACGAGTTGCACGTTTGACAAACATTCAGGTTGTTTATGATTTTCTTGGATCACAAACATTGCAGTAGGGAACAAGGACAGGCAAATAAGAGGTAACCAGACTCTTTGCCCTGCTACTTATTAAGGTCTATTATAAAGCTGGAGCCCCCAATATCCTTGAGAAAGGAAGTCTAGAAATGAATGAAGCTCAGGTGGGGACTACCTGTATCATAAAATTGGCATTTCAGGCCTAGACAAAGAGCAGGTGATCTGACCCTGCTGCAAGTCACCTGGTGTTTCACCTGGAGAAACAGAAAGAGATCTTCTGGGTTCCAAATGAATTAAAACTTTACATGAAAATCTTGATGCAGAAGAGGAACTGGAAACAATATAAATTAGGACAAATTCGACTTTGCTCTGGAGAAAGCTTTTTAAATTTGGTCCCCAAATTAGAGGCATGTCTCACGAACTCCTGACAACACAGGCATGTAATCATCGAATGCCACTTGTGCAATGTTGGAAGACAAAGGATGAACCAGAGGCACAAATTTGCACCATTTATGAATGGCCACACTTAGAATACTTTGAAAAACTTTATTAGAAACACATAACATCTAACCAAATGAAGACCTCCATGGGCTTTAGCCCTGTGAGAAAAAATACTAGTGTGCAAGGCACATAAGAAATTATGCTCAATGGATAATGCTCAGATAATGGAAATTAAAACAATGTAATGCCATTATTTTTCTGTATCAGAAAGGCAAAGATTGCAAAGAACCCTAACAGGCCCAGGTCTGCAGCCAGGGGGAGCCAGAGCACATGGTCTGCTGCAGGGAGAGCAGGGACCACGCAGCCCCAGCTTCAGGGCCTGTGTCCCCCGGGGGATTCCCTTCCACCCATCGTGGAGTAGTTTCCCCAACTTCCACATGGTGGTCCACACAGTTGACCCTTCCTGATGTTCCCTCTGTCTCACCAGCCTGACCCATATGGCAAGGACCATGTGGCATTGCCCAGATCAGTGGTTTCTCTCTATGGCAGGGGTCCCCGAGACCCCTGAGTCACCCCTGGGGACACCAGCAGAGCTTCCCAGGAACTCATAACAGCTGTGCACACTCTGCCATTGTATGTCCCCACTCATGGCCGTTTCCTGGAGTGACAGTTGAGTCAAGGATGAAAGTGAGCACCTTCCTTGTCTCACAGTCTTGCCCCAAGTCACCCACCCAGCTCTCCTTCAGCTCCCAGAAGCACATGCTGTGCCTGGGAGCCCACGGAGCATAGGCTGCCCACCAGAGTTTGGCAACACCCTGGCAGTTCTGACACTCAGGACAGCCTCCCTGGGCTCCAGCCTCACTCCAGTAATGAGCAAACAACAAAGAGAATACAGAAGGCAAGGGAACCCAATGAAAACAAGGTGGGAGGGAGGGAGGCGGCTGTGTCCAGAAAGCTCTAATAGCTCGGAATATGGAAGTAACCCAAAAGAAAGGTGTGTGTGTGTGTGTGTGTGTGTGTGTGTGTGTGTATCAGAGGGGCAGTGGAGAAAAGGAATTGCAGAAGGCCCAGAAGGCCCAGAGGGGTGGAGGGCTCTGATGGTCCTGTCTATGTCAGCATAGATGCCCCATGCTCGGGAGAGGTGACAGGCAGGATGCAGGGTGCGGTGGGGTCAGCACACCTCATGGGGCCTGCTGATCTCCCAGGGTGGTAGTGCCAGGTAATCTTGCTGCTTCAAGGACTTAAAGAACTGAATAGCAGGCACCTGGGCTACAGGCTGGCCTGGGGGTTTCTTAACTGGGAATCCCCGATCTATGTCTTTGATACCAAACTCCGGACAAGGTATGGGGGAAGATGGCTTGCTGCGGGGTGAGAGGGGACCAGGTCCTAGGCCAGGGAGGAAGCAGTAGTCGCCTACCTGCTGCAGGACAAGCAGCCCCTCAGGGGCTGGGGACAGTGGGGGCACATCCCCATGGGGCTCCCCTGGGCTCAGGACAGGGCTACTGGATGCAGGAGGTACAGGGCTGCCCAGAGAGGAGTTAGGGGACAGTCCCATGGGTGGAGGGAGCTCCACATAACCCTCAAACGCCGGTTTCCCCATAGTTGGGGCTGCAGAGGGCCCACCAGGCAGGGCTGGGCAGAGGCTGGGGTTCTGGAGATCCAGAGGGGGAGCCAGAGAAACAGAGGAGGCCCCTGTGGACAAGGTCAGGACCAGGTCTGCAGTGGTGACATAACCAGTGGCCATGACAGGGTGCTCAGGGACCCCAGAGCTTGTGGGCAGAAAGCCTGGGCTGTCCCCTGGGTCCTGTCCCTGGTGACTGGGCTCAGATGCAGGAGGGGTAGGGCCTCCCCCAGCGTCCAGGTAGGGGCTGTCCTGGATGCCAGCTCTAGGCAGAAACTCCCTAGGGGCAGCCTGGCCCTGCCCTGTGACCTGGGCCAGAGGCACCAGCTGCACCTGTCCCCCAGGGGGCAGACACAGGTACTCCAGGGAGCCTGGCAGGGTTGTCCTGGGGCCCTGCACTGACACCTGCTGGCCTGCGAGGTCAGGCAGGGAGCGGCTGTGGGGTGGCCCCAGGTAGGGACCATTGAAGTCAAAGGTGGCCAGCTGGTCCTCGGGCCGGCTTTGGGGGGCTGGCAGGCCTGGCTGGACACTGGGGGTCTGCTCCACGGGGAGGTCTGAGGCGGCTGGAGGGGAATGAGGCTCTGATGGAGGATCACAGACAACTTTGGGGTCCTCTGTGGTGAGAGGTGACAGCTCAGCGTCCCTGAAGTCTACAGCACACACCCTGTGGGGAGCACAGAGGTGGAGATGCAGGGGTCCTTGGGCAGAGCACCCAGCGCGGGCACAGTGCGGGCAGAGGGGCAGGAGGCCTGATCCTTTCCTAGCCCTGCCTGTGGGCTCTGCAGTGAGGAGACTGCCAGGACAGCAGGTCAGGGCGCTGCCCTGCACAGCTCCAGTGAGGGAGCAGGAGGCCAGAGCTTCCCGCGAGATGGGTCCCTGGTGCCCTGGTGAGCTAGGGCTTCCTAAGGAGGCAGCATGGACATTGGGCAGTCCCCTGCCTCTGGCTAGGTCCCCTGTCTGTCGTCCTGCCCAACCTGGGAGTCAGGAAGTTCTTCCTTATGTCCATCCTGGATGACACCTGCTTTAGTGCAAAGCCCCCTCCTGGGACCTCTTCCCAGGGAGCCCCCACGCCCCTCCCACCAGCCCCCCATAAGCTCATGGCGCAGCTCCACCTGGTCCCCAGGGACAGGAGACTGAGCTCCCACACTCACCCCTCCAATGCAGGGAAGAGGCTGGCCTGGAGACCCCAGGAAGGGGCACTCCTGCCAGCGAAGGTCATCATGCTTTCTGGGAGGCGGAGCCCGGTGCTTCCATTCTGGAGGAGAAGGACACCTGTGAGTGGGCCACAGGTGCGGGAGAGGACAGCCAGGGGAATCTAGTGGCCCCGACATGGGTTGGTCCCCACCCTGTCAGGACCCACTACCAGCCCTGGAGGCCGAGCTGCCCTGCCAGTCCCAGGGAGCTGCTGTCAATACCTGGCACCCACCAGGGTCGCCTGGCCTCTGCAGTGCCTGCCTCCTGACTGTCCCTCCTCAGTGCTTGCTCATGAAGGGCCCGTCTGCCCCATCTGGGTCCTCACTGGAGCCACTGTCCTGCCTGGCTCCAGCCAGATCCTCAGGCTCAGCTCTGTGCTGCCCTGGCTGCTGCTCTGCCTCCCACCACCCCGAGGCCTGGGAGCCGCAGCCCCTCCTGGCTCACCCTGGGCGTGGCTGGCCAGCTGGCCTTTGCTCAGGTCCCTGCATGCCCAGTGTCAGCTTGCACAGGCTCGGGGTTGAGCTCCTTAGGTGCCCAGAGGACCCCAGGAACCTGCTTCCTGCCACCTGGTTCTCCAGCTCCTACCAGGAGTCCCCTTTACCCGGACCATACTCAGGGCCATCAGGGGAGCAGGTTGCAGGGGACCCAGGGACAGGAGCAAAGGCCCCACCGGCTCCACAGTGGGTCCTACCTGGAAGAGGTGGCTCTTGCTGGGGTTGGGGATTTTCTCCTTCCACTTCCTGTTCAGCCTGGAACACACCAGGGAGGGGACAGTCACCAGGACCCTCAGGCCAGCTGCTGCTGTGCCTCGTGCAGGGGGGAATCTGAGGCCCAGTAGTGGGGACAGAGCAGAGAGGCTGGGAGCCAGGCTGTGCCATCCCTGGGGTCCTGGGGCCTCTTGAGTGTCTCACCTGTACCCGTAGAGGCCGCAGAAGCGCAGGGCCAGGAGCAGCACCAGGGTGGCAATGACCAGGAGGAGTGCCAGCACCCAGGTGGGCAGTGCTGGGGAGAGCAGGGAGAGAGCAGTTAGGACGGAGGGAAAGGTGACGGAAGTAGAGATGGGGACCCAAGACCCCTGTCAGTGTGCAGGGCTGGAACCCATGGGGTTGGAAAGGCTGGATAGGGAGGCCATGGGGCTCAGGAGTGGGGACAGGTCTGAGCCCACAGAGCTCCATTGTGGGCCACAGCAGGGTCAGGCCTTCCTGGGGAGGCCACTCAGGAACCAGGGCAGGGAGAACTGGGTTGGCACCAGCAAGGTCTTAGGATTCCTGTTTCTTGCCTTTCTATGCGAAGTTCTTGGCCTGCCCTGCAGCCCTGTACCTCACTCTGGTCCCAGGTCTGGCCCTGCTCCTTCCTATCCATGGCCCCTGCCTGGCCCCTCTGCCCCCACTACCCGGGCTTTTTGCTTTTTCCTGGCAGATCCTCCATCCTCTCTCTGTAGCACCCAGCTTCCCAAATGCCCATGCTTCCAGGTGCTGTCTCAGTTACTGTACTCTCATTGCTGGGACAAATTCCCGACACGCAAAATGAAGGAAGGAAAGATAGGTTTATTTAGCTCACAGTTACTGGAGGATTCAGTCCATCCTTAGCTGGCTCCAAGGCAGAGTGGCACATGGCAAAGAGTAACCTTTCATGGTAGTAGCAAAGAGCAGAGAGCCGAGAGGAGCAGCAGCAACAATAGCTACAGAGAGCAAATCTGTCCCCCATAAGTTGCATTCAGGCTATCTGCCCCAGGCTGGGTATAGTACTCACACCCATAACCCCAGCAGCACTCACACTCCTAATCTCATATTATGGATCATGAATTAATCACAAACTCTAGAAGTACCCCCATGACTGCATGAGGCCTTGAGGGGACAACTAGACCCAAACCATAACATTCCATCCCTGGACCCCCAAAGTCTCATGCACATCCCTTTGTGCAAAAGGCATTTTAGTCCATCTCTAGGAACTCCCAAAGTCCTACAGTTTCAGCATTGCTGATAAGTCCAGCTCCAAATCTCTTTCAAAATTTAAGGCAAACTCTTAGCTGGGAGCCCTGTACAAAGGAAAAGTTAAACACTTCCAACACTCAGTGGCATAAAATAAACATTACTGTTACTAAAGTTACACACAACAGGATACCAAGCATTGGGACTAAAGCAAGTCCAGAATCTAGTGGGGCCAAATTTAAGTCCTGTAGTTCCATGTGGAACAGCCAAAGCAATCTGTGGTAAATTGTAAGTTCCATGTGGCTCCACCCCTGTGGTACTCTTGGTGGTTGCGCCCATGGCTTCTCTCTTAGGCCTGCTTTGCTCCCTGCTTGCAGGTTTTCTTAGATGATCCACAGTCCACACTTCTTGGCCTCCCAGGCTTTCTTCTGAAATCTAGGTGGAAGCCTTCTTAACCTCAGGACTCCTGCATTCTGAATGCACCCCAAACCAACACCACTTCGATGATGCCAAGATCTGCTACCAGTTGGAGCAGTAGCCTGGCTTCCTGTAGGGGTCAAGTGCCTGGATTGCTGAACACTCTGACCCTGATTCTGAGGAATAAATTCTCCATGCTGGTGCCATTCTGGAACCTGGTGTGGCCACGACCTCTGGAACATGGGGCTCTGTGGTTTCCCCTCAGGGCAAAGTCCCTCACCCCTGTGGTTCTGAGACTGCAATGGGTGGAGACCTACTGCCTTAAGTGATGTCTTCATGCCATCCTTTCAATTCTCTTGTTCCTTCCCAGCAAAGGAGATCCTCTCAGCTCTATCTTTGCAGTCCACAGCTTTATTGGAGCATCCTTTCATGCCAAACTCACAATGTTTTAAATCATCCTGTTGGGGTCTTTGTTCTCAATTATCAACATAAATCTCACTAAAAGCCCCCAACAATAGCCATGCCACTGCCTCAATATTTGGCTGCTTTGAAATTTCTTTTGAGGGATTAATCAGTCTACCATGCTTAATCTCAGTCTCAGACAAAGTCTGTGGACATAAGCAAAATACAAACTTTCTACAATGCTGTAACACAAATCATCCAGAGTCCAACAACCAATGTAGTCCTTCCCAGCAGAAACCTCCCTAACCTGGATTTTATAGGCAGGATTTCTATCAGCATTCTGATTTTAGTTCTGACCAGAATCTCCCATTCAGAATAGCCAAAGCTGTTTCAGCACTTCTCTTGTAGGTCATATCCCCAAATCTTTCCTATGTGTTCCCATAAGCCATTCCCAAAAGCTTGTAATCCGTATGATCAGGTTTAGCCACAGCAATGATCCCACTTCTCTGGTACCAAACTCTGTCTCAGCTACTTTTCTCTTGTTGCTGGGACAAATATCAGACACTCAAAATGAAGGAAGGAAAGGTTTATTTAGCTCACAGTTACTGGGCGATTCAGTCCATGCTCATCTGGCTCCAAGGCAGAGTGGAACATGGCAGAGAGCAACCTTTCATGGCAGCAGCAAAGAGCAAGAGAGGAGCCAAGGGAGGAATAACAGCAACAATGGCTGCAGAGAGCAAGTCTGTCTCCCTTAAGTTGCATTTAGGCTATCTGCCCCAGGCTAGGTGTAGCACTCACACCCATAATCCTAGCAGCACTCATTCCCCTAATCCTAGTGGATCATGAGTTAATCACAAACTCTAGAAGTGTGCCCCATGACTGTATGAGGCTTTGGGGGGACCATTAAACACAAACCATAACAAGTGCCCACTATGAGGAGAGTGGAGAGGCCCACACTGTCCACAAGTGAGGAGGGTGGCCTGACTCAGACTTCAGGCCTCAGCTCCCCATCCCGGGTCAGCTGGGTACCTGATGTAGCTGCTGCACTGGATCGGGTGCTCAGGCTAACCAGTCACTGGGTCATGGCTCCTGGAAGCTAGTGAAGGTGAAGGCCCTATTCACAGGCTCTGTGCTCCAGTTTGAAGGTGGCCAGGAGGGCTCTGTGTGCCCACTGTAGAGCCAGGGCTATCTGTTCATCACCCTTGTGCTAGGGCCTAGGGACAGATGAGAGGGAAACGGCATGCCTTGCCCTCCTGCCCAGGTAGAGCAGAGGTGCCCAGGAGACCTACCCCACTCAATGGTCCAGCGCTGCTCCTGGCTCCACTCACTCCAGATGCCATTGTAGCCGCTTTCAGGGTTGGGTCTGACCCTCACCCTGGCCAGGTAGGTGGTGGCGGGCTCCAGGAGTGGCAGTGGCATGCTGTGGGCATTCTTCAGGATCTCATTCTTGCTGTCCTGTGGTAGCAAGGGCCAAGGCCGAGGCCATGCCTAGCGCAGGATGCCATGACATCCCTTCCCTCTTTCTCTCCCAGGTCTCCCACGGGACTAGTTCCACCCCTGACAGCACAGATGGGGAGACCAGGAACCAGACCTCACCAAGTCCTTCCCTGCAGTGTGATTGTAACTCCTTAGCCTACCTGGGTCTGACCCCAGTCCCTGCTGAGCCAGGGCTCTGCTCTGAGCCAGAAGCTCAGGCGCCTGGCCTCCTCCTCCTCCTCCTTCCATACCGACCGCTTTCCTGTCTCCCGCTCCTCCCCAATTCTAGCTCCTGGGTCACTCTGTGAGTTCTCCTTGGGGCCTGAGCACAGCCTGAGGTCTGCATAGACTATAATGTGGGGGCAGGTAAGCTTCCCAAGAGGAAATGTCCCTAGGATTTGGTGACTTCTGAAGGACCTGAATCTCAGTCTGTCAGCCTGTCCCTGATGGTGTCTGTCCCCTGCAATTCAGCCTCATCTGTGACTCTGTGGCCTGGACACATGATGTCCCTGAGCCTCATCTCCACCCTGTGTTGTGACACTGGGTATGCAGATAGGTTCACCATGTCCTACCCATGTGTGCCCTGACCGATCACCTCTGTGGCCAGCATGGGGACAAGGTGCTCCTCTGTGTGCTGCCTCCCTGTCCTTCCAACCAAGCCCCTGCCAGGTACTCACCTCCCACGAGTCCTTATCCTTCCTGTACTGGACCTGGAAGATGTTCTCAATGTGTGAATAGTACATTTTCTGTGTCACCCAACGCAGGCTGTAGCTGTCTCCATCCTTGGTCACATTGAGGGTTGGTGCTGCCATCTGGACTGGAGAGAGGGAGGTTCTTGGGGGTGGTCATGACCTCCACACTATGGGGGAACCAGTCTGTCCCAATGCCAGCCATGTCCTGTCCCTCTCTATTCAGGGGCCTCATGTCCCAACATTCTGGGCTCTTTCTGTCTCAGCACCTGTAGCCACCTGAGCAGTCCCTTTGCTAGGAGACATCAAAGATGTCTGTGCTGTTGTGTGGAGACCAAAGGTCGGGGTCCTCCTGGTGCCTGGTGTCTAAGTGCAACCAGCACATGTTGGTTCATTCTAGAATACTAACCATGTTCTAGAAAAGATGACGCTCAGTAGCGTGATGCTGCAGTCCCAGCCCAGTTGCTCCTCCCTAGCTGAGAAGTCTCTAAGTTCATCTATCTGGGGTACCCTGCCCAAATCATAGAGTTGGCTCTCACTGCCCCAAAATCCACCAGATTGCAGCAGTGAGCCTTCAACCACCTGGGGTGAGATGCTTCCCACCCGGGTGGTGGCCAAATGAACAGATGAAGCCCTTTTGTGACAGCCCTTCTCACTTGGTCATTTCAGTCCATCAAGTGGAAAATGCAAAGGAGAGAGAAAGCCAAAGGTAGGTGTGGATCTAATAGTCATGTACTCTAGCTCTGAGTCATGTCCTGCTCTTTGGGGAAATTTTAATTTCACTCACTCAACCACTTTGAGCTTCAGTCTCTGGGTCAGATTGAAAAGAACACTCATAATTTGGATGAATCACAGGCATTTGATGGAACAGTGTGAGGTGGCCCGTGCATCACTCTAGACTCTCCAGGCACTTGAAGTCCAGGAACATGCTTTCCCAGCCGGGACCCCAAGAGTGTGAGTGGTGGGTTCCGACACAGATGAGTTGGCCTCTGCCTTTGGTAAGGACTAAAGCACTGAAGCATGGGTACAGGAAGTGGGACCATCAGGAACCACTGCACACAGGTGGTCCCCCCTGCATTGGGGTCCTTGCTACCTAATGGAAACGGGTGATACTGACCTGCAGGGATCTACCGGCTATGGACGCAGCCCTGGACCCAATGGGAGAGTGACCATGTGTCAGTCTTTAGAAATACGAGGATGACTTTAGAAATGAGTGAATGAAAAATCCTACTGAGGAAGGAAAGTGGTTTGGTGGGAGGATCCAGAGGGTGTGGGCAAGGCTGGTGCTGTGGAGTAGCTAGGCAGGATGAGAGGCCCAAGGGAAGGACTGAGAGAAGCGGATTTCATGAACTCGTCTCCAGGCGACCCACCTTCCCCTCCTTGCTCCTGCTACATCAGTACTTCATGAGAATTGACACAGAATATCAGAAGAATCTGTTTCCTTCCAGTCACTGCTCTGATTTTCTTTGAAGGTAACAAACAGGGGCATGAGGAGACATGTGTCTCCTGGGGTGACCTGAGGACCCCGTGCAGTCCTGACAGCGCATGGGGAAGCAGGGCAAACTCACTGTGCTCTGAGCTCTCTATGAGTTTCTCTTCAGTCCGAGGACGCACGGTCATGGAGTACTGGCTGTGAAGCTCTGGGCTGGAGACCCGGATCTGGCAGGAGTGGAGAGTGTACAGGCCGCCGTGCACCTCCTTCTGTACCTGGAGACATTCCTTCTCCCTGAGGAGCACACGCAGCAGAGGTCAGGGCCAGGAAGGGACCAGGGAGGGCTGAGGACTCAGCTGGGTGGTGGCTTCTGCCAGGGCCCTGGGATAGGGAAGACCAAGAGCAGGGGAGGGATGGAGAAGGGACACTCACTCTGCATCCGGGCTGGGCCTGTAGAAGAGGCCAAAGGACACCGAGCTGGTCACCTGGGATCTCACCTCCCAGGAGCAGCTGAGCGTGTGGGCCCCATCAAAGACGCACTGCAGGTTCTGGGGCTGGGCATTGTCCCCTGCAGTGGAGACAGCTCTCGGTCACTCCCTCCTACACACCATGACTCTGGGGACACTGTGATCAGGGAGATCATGGGGTTTGGGATAATAGGACAGAGACTAAAGTCCTCATAGCACATGGTGGCCAGTGAAGTGGCTGCTGCAGGCCATGCTTGTGGTTCTGAGCACTGATCTTTGCAGGAACTGAGCTGCACAGGACAGAGTATGATGGGACAGAGTTCCCCATGGCTGGCCCAGACACATGCAGCAGCCCCCAGGCTTGGAAAGCCATGGGTGTGGAGTCTGACCAAGACTGCACAGTTCTCTAAGGAACTGCCCTGCTGGAGACATAGGTCCCACCCAGACCCTTTACCTGGCTGTGAGCTCCAGCCAACCTCGTGGCTCCACTGGCTGGGCCGCCCTGAGAAGGCTGAGCCCGGGGCCAGCCGGGTCCGCACTCGGGCCGTGTAGGTGCTGTCGGACAGCAGGAGATCGGGCCCTAGGGATACCTGGGAGGAGCTGGAGTGCAGGCTGGTGGCATTCTGTGGAGAGAGGGGACACTGAGGGAGGTGCCGGCCACATGTCCCTGTGGGCTGGGGCACAGCTGGTCTGGGTCCTACCTCCCAGGACTCATCAAGCCTCTTGTAGGCCACCTCGAACTCCAGGTCCCTCTGCGACAGCCAGGATGTCTGGGGATCCCCAAGGGGCACATTCCAGGTCAGCAGGAAGTGGTCCCCAGTGGCATTGATCTGGACGTCCTGGGGCGGAGGCGGCTGCACTGCAGGGACAGGAAGCCAAGGGCTCATGAAGCTGGCCCATGGGGACAGAGTGGCTGTCTGGCTTGGCCAAGGAGGGCGGGGGGCCCACTTGGGGTCCCAGGTCCAGAGCTGCTGATCAGCTGAGGACCATGAGCAAGACCCTTCCTGTGCTGCCTCAGGCCCCACCCATAGCACCTTGTGCTGAAATGTGAGAGCTGGAGGGCTGGACCTCAACTCTCAGTGAGGCCTCCCCTGCACACAGTGCGACCTCCTGCCCAGCAGAGGGCGCTGCAGTCACAGGCCTCCCTCTCCTGCTGTGCCTTCTCCCACCTGCCAGGGGTCCCTAGCCTCTGTCATGGAGGAGCATAAGTGTCTCCTCCTCTAAGGACCCTCTTGTGGCCCTTGGTTCCTTGTCTCTTCTCTTCCCTCCTGTAAGCTGACCCGACCCATGTTTCCCTGAACCTGTTAAGGCTTGTGATTTCCATGTTGCCTCCCTTCCCAAAGGAGGAGCTTGGGGAAGAAAGATTGTTTTGTTTTGTTTTGTTTACTTTCTCTCCTGTCTCTAAGCCTGATATGCAGCAGCTTGGTGAATTGGGATGGGATGAAAGGATGAATGATGAATGAATGAATGAATGAATGAATGAATGAATGAACAAACACAGAGGTGCAGTTTTGGGGCTCTCAGCAATCACTCTTTCCACCACTCAGTCCCACCCTGCTGGAACCTCCTGTGCTCACGAAGAAGCTGAGTTCCTGAGAGCCATGGCTTCAGGCTCTGGGAGTTTCTCTGTCATGTTTCTGGGCCTGAATTTCACATCTGAAACATTGAGCCAGTAGGATGTGAACGCTCTGTGCTGCTCATGGGACTCAATGGGCTAGAGCAGGTCCCAGCTAGAGCCCCACGCGAATGCAGATGCACAACAAGCCACCACCCCTGCCCACCCAGCCAGGACAGGCATCACTAGTGATCAAAGACTGACAGAGTGGGCATCTGTCTCGGCACAGAGCTCCAGGAAGCTGCTGCCAACTGGGTAGCCCTGGGGCCAGTTCCACTCTTCTCCTCTAGCTTCACCATTTTATTCCACTGGCTCATTTCACAGATGGAGAGAGCGATGGAGAAAGTCAAAGGTCCAAGATGGCGACTGCGGGAGTGTCCAGTAGATCTGTTGCACCTTTGTGCCTGCCCCCTGTTGGCTTTCCGTGACCCCTGCAGTCCAGTGCCAATTTCCTTTCGGCTCAAGCTGCCTTCTGTATCTATCATGTGCTCTAGAATGTAGAGTGCTGTTGTCCTTTTCTTTTCCACACTTTCCACTCTGCATGTGCAGCCTTCTCATGTCCAGGAGCCACGTTCCCTATGGTCAGACTGCTGACCACTTCTTCCTTGCCCTCCTGGCCCATGAAATCTCTGGGTGAGCAGGGAAGCGCAAAGATGGGACCCTTGAGCATCCCAGCTGGGATTGCATCTCCCCTTGCTCCTACTGCAAGCCACAGCCTGTGCCTTGGGTCACTCTGTGGACTTCATTCTTCCTGCTCCAAATGCCTGATTTCTCATGTACACGGCACACCCCAAGCATCCTCATACCAACACCCAGTTGTGTCATCCTGCTTCAGAGCCTCTCTGTCTCCTTGCAGGGCAGAGTCTTTTCCTGCTTCAGATCCTGCCTGTGCCCCTTGCTTCCTCCTTCCAATATCCAGCATAGGAACTTGATGCTTCCAGATACAGTGATGGGGTCTTCCCAGCCTGCCATCCCAACTCCAGCCTCCTGGCCCCCGCAGGGTTACCCTGCCAGGAAGGTGCCTCCTGCTCCACACTCCTCCACAGCCTTTGCAGCTCAGAAGCAGCTGCTTCCTTCCTTGTGGGAAGCCTGTCCTGATCCCCAGGCCCTCTGTCCCTGCATGCAGCTCATAGACAATGTCTGGAGTTTCCCTGTCCCCAGGCTACAGCTCTGAGCTCCCAGGGGAAGGATCCTCTCATCCCAGAAGAGCAGGTTTGGAAACATGGTCTCAGAGCTTCCCCTTCCAGGCCATGGCTCCGCAAGGCTGGAGCCGAAGCAGGAAGCAGAGCAGAGGCTCCAGACTCCTGCCAGGAGTAGCAGGACTGGGGCATGATCTGAGACCAGAAGGGATCTTCCTGGGACGAACCTCAGCAAGGCTACCAGCAAGGCCTTTGGGTGCCGATTGGGCAAAAGGACAAGAGTCTCAGCCTCCCCAACACCAGCCACTCATTCCCAGGGCTTGGCCTATTATCCCAAACCTTTCTCAGAGGACTCTCCTTTCTCCAGCCTCCCTGGAGCAACCCTGCCTGGAGCCCAAGTGAGAAAAAGGCTGGCTGTGTTTCCTTCTGGCAGAAACTCATGCAGACCTCGTGTACAAATGGCTGTGCTGCACCCAGCCCAGGCCCTGCTGGATTCTCAGCCCCCATGGGCCCGCTGTGCACCCCTGGGCCCAGCTCCATATCTCGAGGGCAGGAAGCCTGTGGGAATTGCACCTGTCATAGTGGCAGGGCTTTGGAACCGCCTAGGCCTCAAGGCCCCATCCACAAAGGCGCTGCGTCGGGCACAAGAGTCCCTAGGCCACTCGGTTTCCACAGAACCCTCAGCTTGGTTCCCTGGAGGGAAGCTGTCAGGGCTAGGCAGTGGGGGCAGCAGCTGGGGCAGGGAAGTGCTTGGGCATGGCCCTCCTGCCATACCTGCTCTAATGCCACTGTCACAGAGCACCACTTCCTGTCCCAACACAGTCCCAGAACAGTGTCCGCACCTCCTGGACACTCGTTGCCTGGTCCTGCTGCTCTAGCCCTGCTGTGTCTGGTGGCCTCTGCCTAGACAGGGCCCACACCTGGCAGGGACTCCGCTCTCACCGTGCTGGGCCAGCGCCACAGTGAGCTGGACGCTCAGAGGCCGGTCTGGCTGGAAGGAGAAGTAGTCCTTGTCTGCAGAGGTGAAGCCACTGTATGGAATGACACATCTTCTAGGCACACAGTCAGGAGCCGGGCAGTGGGACCAGGGCAGGTGGCTAGTGACTTCACAGGACACTGGCTTTCCATAGCGCCTGTCGGGAGAGAACATGGGATTGGTTGGTTCAGAATCAGTAAGCATCAGTCCCAGGGGGTGGTGCCACGCGTCAGGCTCTGTGCAGGATCGAGCTCTGGCAGTGACACACACACACAGGAAGGAGCTCACTCCTAGAGCTGGCATCGCAGGCGAGGGGTGGGAGGGGGTACAGGATTGCCCACTGGAGACATTCAGGCTGACCCCGGGAGGCACATTTCGAGGGACAGTTCGATGTATAGCAATGGCTCTTCTACTGTGATTTTTTTTTAATTTAAAATATCCACCATATATTTTGAGCACCCCAGAATTAGCAAAAAACATCATGTAGTCAAACATAGCGAAGAAGCAGGATGAAGACGCTGGGTGTGGGGTGGGGAATGTAGTTTCAGCCGGACATGGGAAGCCTTCACTGAGAGGTGATGTGTGGGAGGCCTTCCACGGACAAAGGGAGAGACCACAAAATTCTGGTCCAGGGGGATTTCCAGAGATGGCCCAGCAAGTGCCAAGTCCCACGGCGGGCACCCATGGAAGTGGCAGCATTCAGCCAGCACGCAGGGAGCGGAGCCTGCGGGCAGGAGGAGGTCTGGGAGACCCGTTAATGAAACTGATCACACAGAGCTTAGAGGAAATCTAAACATAACCCAGGGATAACCTAAAGAAGGGCCCTCCCCTCCCCCGCTCGCAGTCGACTTTCCATTTCCCTAATTAAGAGGTCACGCAGCTGAGGGATCTATTCTTAGTGTCCCACTAGCTTTCCTGTAGATGGCACCTCGAACTGAAGCCACCTAACAGATTCAAGCTGGCAAAAGTGGCTTTCTGCTGTCCTTCTAGGTTCTGTATCTTACACAGTACGGTTACTGATTTCTGAGAAAAGAAACTACAAAGGCATGAGTCATAAATTTACTAATAGGCGTCTTTCCTCTAGATTTACAGTACACAGAACATTGAGTAACCTGCCCGTAAGAGCCGTGTGTTTACCAGGGAAGCAGACGGCTGTGGGATTTATGGCAACCCTGGTGTTCCTCTACTTCTGATCTAGGACGGAAAAGACACCCTGTGGTCCCCAAGCAGGGCGGTCTTTCTTGGTGAGAACCTCCCATCTCTCCTTTGGAGATTTTCCAAGTGAAACTTTTCCCTTGCTCCAACTGGTCCTCCAGTACTGGCTCTCACACGATGAGCAAACCCCACTTGGGTCCAGCTGTACTAGGAATTTGGATTCCACTGAGTTAGAGGTAAGCCCTTAGAGACTTATGAGGACAGAGAGGAAAGGCATTTTCCTGTAAGCTGTGGTGAAGAGGGGGCGTGGTGATGTGGAAGCCCAGAGACCAGCTAGAAGGTCCATCCAAGTGACAAGTAGTTTGGGGCAGGGAGGTGCAGTCAGCATTGGTCAGATTCTCATTCTGCTGTTTTGAGGGGTGTGGTGTGTGTGTGTGTGTGTGTGTGTGTGTGTGTGTGTGTGTGTGTTTGAGACAGGGTCTTGCTATGCAGTTCAGCCTGGCCTTGAACACACTTTGTATCCCAGGCTGGCCTTGAACTCGCAGCGATCCTCCTGCCTCAGCCTCCTAAGTGCTGGGATACCAGGTGTGCACCAGCACTCCTGGCTCTCATTCTGTTTAAAGACAAATTTGGCTGCATTTACTGGTGGATCAGATGCTGCAGCGAGGAAGGAAAGATAATAAAGTATATTTAAAAGCTGAACAGCCCCCTTCCCATTTATTATTTTTTTTATTTTTTATTTTTTAAATTTTTTTTTTAATTTTATTTATTTATTTTTGGGTGTGTGTGGCCAGCTCAGCCCGCCTGGGGGCGGGGCTGGCTGGCATGTGGTGCTGGGGGATTGAACCGAGGTCCCTGTGCTTTGCTAAGCTTGTTCTAAGTAGGTGCTTTAGACCACTGAGCCATCTCACCAACCCCCCCCCCCATTTATTTAGCCCAAGTGGTCATCTTATCCCAGTGGAGTGAGCCAGAGAAGCCCGAGGCAGGAGTGTGTCAGGGTGGGAGTAGGATTTGATTTAGGGCATTCAGAGGAAAAAATACCTAGAACCTAAATGATACACGGAGAGACAAGCGCGCTGATGGGTGATTGCTGGGGGTCCCGGCTAGAACTCTGCATCTGAAGTTGCCACCTATAGCCTGAGGTGGGATCGCCAAAGACTGGGTGCAGATGTAAAAGAGGAGGTCTGAGGGCCAAAAGCAGGGTGTTTATCCTCTATGGAGATACAGAAAGGAAGTGAATGGGAGGGGGAGGGAGCGAGGGAGGGAGAGAGAGAGAAAAGGGGGTGGGGGGCTGGGGCGAGGCACTGGCAAGTGTGGAGGCCAGAAGTCAGGAGAAGGGCAGCCCCAGGAGGACACTGCAGTCTTCCTGCTCAGGTGCTGACCACGGTCAGGGAGGAAGAAGCCTGATATGTGACGGCTGTCTCTAACTGCAAGGGCACAGCGGACAGACAGGAGCGGCTGGGGTGTGCAGGGGGACAGACTGGAAAGGCATCAGGGACAGGGACTGCAGACAGCCCCAGGAGGAAGCAGCGGGGGAGGATGGGCTACAGCGGGGCCGGCTCCTGGGACACCTCCCCAGGGTCTCCTTCATTCCCTGGATGCCAGCTGTCCCGCCAAGTCACTGATGGCAGAAGAGACCGTCCAACCCCCCCCCCATCACCTTTGTGAGTAGCTTACGTGCAGGAGGCTATGGGACAGAAGGTGCTGCAGGTAGGGCCTTGGGAGCGGGGAGCCTACCAGCTCCCCACACCCTTGGACACCATCCCTGCTCTGCTCCTCCCCACCCTGTGGCTGGTGCGGCCCTCAGTTCCCTGGCTATCCAAGCCCCCTGCTGTGACCTGGGCATCGTGTCCTTCCTGCTGCCTACCAGTGAGGATGAACTCAGTCATTTGAGGAAACTTCATGAAATAGTGACAGGAAGAAAAGACGGTCACCCTCTACAGCAGCGGGACCATTCGTGTCCCAAGATCCCTGCATTTGCTGTGTCCCTGTGCCCCCTGAAGTCCCGTGCCAGGCACCCAAGACACAGAGCAGCACCCTCAGACCTGGTCCCCCTCACTCACTGTTTTAATAATCTGCGATGGAGGGTCACATTGATGAGCTGCCCGGCAGCTGCAGTGTCCGCCCAGCTGCATACGATGCGGCTGGTGTAGTCATTGTAGCAGCGCAGGGTCTGCAGCGGGACAGTATCTGCAGGGAGATGCAGGGGGTCAACCTCTCCTCCTCCCCCCATGCACTGCCAGGGTGCCCAAGGAGGGGCCTGGGAACCTGCAGAGCCCTGGGTGGGGCAGCTCTGTTGTGGTCCTGGCCGAGGACTCTTCTCCCCACAGAAACACAGCTTCTAGCTGATCCTCAGCGCATTACTGGGCCCACCCCATATGCTGCCCCAGGGAGGGGATGTGTGTCAGGCACAGCCCTACTCCTGCACCCCACAGTACCTCTAGCAGAAGCACCACCCAGGCCCACCCTAGGGCTGCCCTCTGTCCTCCATCAGCCTGGCCTGGGTGTGGAAAAGAGGCTGTCATTCTTGAGTTGGTGACAGAAGCCATGGTCTAGGGGAGCATAGCTTGGGAGCCCCAGGAGCACCCAGAAGTGCTAGAGGCACCAGGATACTGCAGGGAGAGCCCCAGGCCAAGGCAGCCATGGGGATCAGAGGTCTCCTGGCAGCAGAGGGGCTGGGCAGGAGGGGACAGAGAAGAGGCTGGACCGCCCAGAGGTCGGGGTGTTGGCTGGCACAGTGAGGTGGGAGGCAGAGACAGGCGCCTGCCTCGGGACTTTCAGGGCCAAGAAAGGGTGAGCAGGGTGAGTGGGGCCTGGAGGAAGGGCCAGGTGAGCAGGCCCAGAGGGAGGGAGGACAGCTGCAGGGTGTCTGGGAGCTTCCCGGGTTCCACCGGATGTCCCTGACATAGTCAGGAAGGAGGCAGGGAATGAGGAGGAGAAGGAGCCCCAGACTCACCCTCTGAGCCTTCCACTCTGGGTCCCCTCGTCAGAGCCAGCAGGGCCAGGAGGAGCAGGCCTGGGAGCAGCGCCATCTCCTGGTCGGCTCTGGATCTGCAGTTGGGTGGCGGGTTGGGGCTGGCTAAGGCCCCCTGGGTGTCCTCATTGCCCTGGGGTATCCTGTTCCTGCCAGGCTGTGGGCTGGGCCAGACTCATGACACCGGCTTTTGTGGCCCCAAGACTCTTCCTTCCCTGGACCTGCCGAGGGATAAATTAGTGGGAGATGCCCAGTGCCTAGCCAGTGTCCTAGAGCAAGGGTCTGGTGACAGCCCCAGGGCTTCTATGGCTGAAGACCTCTGGGTACCAGAGGGATGGCCCCAGGAGGGAGGCTGGACCATGACAGGAACTGGGCTCCCCAAGGATGACAAACCCATGCTCTGGGGAGTCACAGGCCAACGGGGAGGGCTGGCTGGCCCGGCAGCATTAGTCTCCTCGCTGTCCCTTGCACACACACTGGGGCTCGGTGCTGTCCCTGGATGGCTCCGTTTACCGCCATTTCTCCCCTGACATTCTCTGTCTGTCACTCTCTGCCTGCTGGTTCCCCTTTCTCCCAGGCTGGGGATTTCCTCTTTGTCATTATGTCCTGCCCTGGGAAGTACCATGGGAGCACAGCTACCATGTGTCTATGTGCCTAGCCATCTATCTCCCTATGCTTCTACCTGGCTGTAGATCGGCCTATTTATCTAGGTGTCTATCTGTATCTATTTATGCACATCTATCTATCATCTATGCATCTACTTACCTGTGCATCTAGCTATACATCTATCTAGCATTTATCTGTCTACCTATACATATATCTATCTGTCCCTGCATCTATCTATCTATCTATCTATCTATCTATCTATCTATCTATCTGTCTGTCTGTCTGTCTGTCTGTCTGTCTGTCTGTCTGTCTCTCTGTCTGTCTGTCTGTCTGTCTGTCTGTCTGTCTATCTAGGCATCTGTC